GATTTCCATTGAAACTTTGCAGAGCGGGAAAGCGGGAGAGCGGGAGAGCTGAGAGAAGGATTCCAAAGGAAATCCTCTTCAAAAGTATTCCAATTGAAACCCTCTTCAAAAGAATTCCATTGGAAATCCTCTCCAAACGGATTGTTAGTGAAGGTCTGTCCAACCGGATTCAGATTGAAGTTTTTTCTTTTTCAAAAAGGATTCCAATTGAAATCTTCTTCCAAAGAGCTCCGATCGAAATCTTCTTCAAAAAGGTTCCCATTGAAATCCTCTTCAAAAGGGTTTGATTCGAAATCCTATTCAAAAGGGTTCCAATTCATATTCTTTCCAAAGGATTCCGATCGGAATCCTGGATAGCAAGAGAGCAGGAGAGCGGGAGAGCGGGAGAGCGGAGGAGTGGAGAGAAGGATTCCAATTGAAATCCTCTTGAACATTCCAATTGGGATCCTGTCCAGAAGGGTTCCAGTTAAAATCTTGTCATTCGGAACCCCTTCGAAGGATATTCACTTGGGCTCCTTTCGAGGAGGAGTTCAAGTGCAATCCTCTCGATATGGAATCTTTGTGCTGAGAATTTCAATTTGAATCCTTCTCTCCGCTCTCCCGCTCTCACGCTCTTCCGCTCTTCCGCTCTCCGGCTCTCCCGCTCTCCCGCCTTCCGGGGTATCAATCGGAATTCTTTTGAAGGCGGTTTCAAGTGGCATCTTTTTAAGGAGGATTTCAATTGGGATCTTTATGAAGAGGATTTGACTAGAAATCCTTTTGAAGAGAACTTCATGTGGAATCTTTCTGAAGAGGATTTCGTTTGGAATCCTTTTGAAAAGGATTTCAACAGGAATCCTTTTGAGGATGATTTCAATTAGAATCCTTTTGATGAGGATTTCAATGAGAGCCATTTTTAGGAGGATTTCAAGTGGAACCCTTCTGAGGGGGATTTCAACAGGGTAGGGACCCTCATGAGGAGGATTTCAATTATAATCCTTCTGAGGGAAGTTTCAATTGGAATCCTTCTCTCCGCTCTCCCGCTCTCCGACATTTTAATTTGCATCCTTTTGAAGAGGATTTCAGTTGGAATCCTTTTGCCCGCTCTCCCGGCCCCCCGCTCTTCCGCTCTCCCGCTCTCCCGCTCTCCCGCCCACCCAGTCCCCTGCTCTCCCGCTTCCCCGCTCCCCCGTTCTCCTGCTCTCCTGCTCTCCTGGATTACAATAGGAATATTTTTGAAAGAATATGATTCCGAATCCTTATGAATAGGATTTTGTTTGAAACCTGTTTGAAGAAGATTTCACTAGAAATCCTTTTGAAAATTATGTCAAGTGGAACCCTTTTAGAAGAGGATTTGACTTTTAATCCGTTTGAACAGACCCTCAATAGGAATCCGTTTGAGGAGCATTTCCAGTGGAATCCTTTTGAAGAGGATTTCAATTGGAATCCTTTTGGGGAGGATTTCAATTTGAATCCTTTTGAAGAGGATTTCAATTGGAATCAATTTGAAGAGATTTCAATTGGAATCCTTTTCTCGGTTCTCCCTCTCTCCCGTTCTCCCGCTCTCCCGCTCCACCGTTCTCCCGCTCTCTCGCTCTTCCGCTCTTCCGCTCTTCCGCTCTTCCGCTCTCCCGCTCTCCCGCTCTCCCACTCCCCCGCTCTCCAGGATGTCAATGAGAATCCTCTTGGCGGGGATTTCAAGTGGAATAGGGGGCACGAGGGGGACACAAGGGGACACGAGGGGACAGCAGGGGGCACGAGGGGACAGCAGGGGACACGAGGGGGACACGAGGAGACAGCAGGGGACACGAGGGGACACGAGGGAACAGCAGGGGACACGACAGAATAATCGCACGACAGGGTGAATGAGCAGAAGGATGATGCGCAGACATAATTATGATGAGCTTTGGAAAGCTGAATAGGAGGGAGATTAGGATGAACACGATTCAAGACGAGATGTAAGATCTTTGGGGGGCAACCATGTATATTCATTCACACACATATGTATGTATGTATGTATGTATGTATGTATGTATGTATGTATGTATGTATGTATGTATGTATGTATGTATGTATGTATGTATGTATGTATGTATGTATGTATGTGTATGTATGTATGTATGTATGTATGTATGTATGTATGTATGTATGCATGCATGCATGCATGCATGCATATGTATGTATGTATGTATGTATGTATGTATGTATGTATGTATGTATGTATGTATGTATGTACGTACGTATGTATGTATGTATGTATGTATGTATGTATGTATGTATGTATGTATGTATGTATGTATGTATGTATGTATGTATGTATGTATGTATGTATGTATGTATATGCGCATCTATACATAAAAACATACATACAAGACTGCATTGGCGCTTCGCGCCGTGCACCTTGGTCCTTGAGGCTTTGCTTATGTTGGTCATTCGCGCCGTCCCCAGTGCCCTTGGAGATTTGGCCCCTTCCCTGCGGTGGTTTTTGGAAGTCTTTGAAAGCTCGGACGGTCCGTGGCCCTTCCTGGGCCTCCAGGGGCTTCCGAACGGCGCCGGGTGGCCGACGAAGGATAGGAGGGAGGGGATCTCGGGGAGCTTGGGGAGGGAAGCGGATGTGGGGGAGGACGAGTGGTGGGGCGGCAGAAAGAGGGGGAAACGGAGAAGGAGGATGAAGAGGAGGAGGAGGAGGAGGAGGAGGAGGACCCAGAGGAGGAGCAGGAGGAGGGAAAGAGATGGTGCCGTCGGGGGGACGGCGAAGAATTTCGGTTGCGCCGCACCGAGGAGGGCTGTCCAGAAGCCAACGGCTACGGTTTCATGTGTGTTTGCACGCGTGCAGGCATGTCTTGCAGTGAATGACGACGAAAGGCCTTCGTAGGCCCGCACATGGGCCCGCTCGTGGCTCAGGTGTCCCGGTGCGCAATGCGAAAGAATGGCAAGCAAATCGGCGCAATGTCAAACAACGCCGCAAAGCACAAGGCAATGCCAAGCCGAGGATGTCATGTTGCAGCGGGTCGCAACGGGGCGCGCAAAAGTAAGTAATTCTGGGGGAATGCGCCGAATCCTGGGTTCGCAACAGATGTCTGGGAAATGTGGTTGCGAACCTGGGACTCGGGTCAGTTTGGTGGTCTCGAGCCGTCCTGGGGCCATCTTGGGCCGCGTTGGGGAGCTTGGGCCCTATAGAGACCTTGCTGGGGCTACTTGGGCCCGCCTGGTGGCCTCTCATGCCTTTCTGGGGGCCTCCCATGGCCTTCTTGGACTTCTCTTGGGGGCCTTCTGAGGGCTTGTTGGGTTTTTTCGGGCCCATTTGGGGCTTCCTTGGACAGTCTTGGGGTCATCCAGGCCGTCTAGAGGCTTTCTTGGGGGTCTCTTGGGCCGTCTTCGGGCGACACTGGAGGCCTTTGTGGCTATTTTTTTGGACGCAGCTAAAGACCCGAACAGCGAATATGCTGAACATGTACGGTTGCCTCAAGGAGCGAAGAGACTTCTGCATTCTGGGAGTCCTGTTCAGGGCCTCTTGTGCCGTCTTGGGGGCCTCTGGAGGCCATCTGGGTTCTTCTTGGAGCGCTCTTATGCTGTCTTTGGTCTCTCTTCGGCCTCTCTGATCACCGCTCTGATCGCCTCGGGTCTGCTGTCAAGACCTGGCCAAGCGCACTGGGGGTCCGGGACGAGCTGGGGGACCTTTAAAAGGGTGTCCAGAGGTCCTGAGACCCCCAGATCCTGAGGGTCCCTTTTTTTTGGGGGGGGTTGGCGGGGTTTTCCCACCCTCCAGCTTGTAAAATTATGGGAAAGGAATATGTGTGTGTATGTATGTATGTATGTATGCATGCATGCATGCATGCATGCATGCATGCAATGTAATGTAATGTAATGTAATGTAATGTAATGTAATGTAATGTAATGTAACGTAATGTAATGTAATGTAATGTAATGTAATGTAAATTAATGTAATGTATTGTATTGTAATGTAATGTAATGTAATGCGATGCGATGTGATGTAATGTAATGTAATGTAGTATAATGTAATGTAATGTATTGTATTGTAATGTAATGTAATGTAATGTAATGTAATGTAATGTAATGCAATGCAATGTAATGTAATGTAATGTATGTATGTATTTATGTAGGTAGGTAGGTCGGTAGGTAGGTAGGTAGGCCGGTCGGTAGGTACTTATTTGTGTGTATGTATGTATGCATGTATGTATATATGTATGTATGTGTGTATGTATGCATGCATGTATGTATGTATGTATGTATGTATGTATGCATGCATGCATGTATGTATGTATGTATGTATGTATGTATGCGTGTATGTATGTATGCATGCATGCATGTATGTATGTATGTATGTATGTATGTATGTATGTATGTATGTATGTATGTATATATGCATGTATGTATGCATGCATGTATATATGTATGCATGTATGTATGTATGCATGTATACATGTATGCATGTATGTATGTATGTATGTATGTATGTATGTATGTATGTATGTATGTATGTATGTATGTATGTATGTATGTATGTATATATATGTATGCATGTATGTATGTATGGCCTCATCTGCTGGTGTAGGGCCAGCGCCTCCCAAGAAGCAGCCTCCTCCTAAGGGGCTTTCCCCCTTTTGCCCCTCTGTGCGCGCCGCTAACCCTGACGTCCGACGTCTCTTTGTTTTGTCGAGACACGAGTCCCCGATCTCCCGACCACTTCCTTGGGACCAGCTTTTCATCCCGAGCCATTTTTTGCCGGTCCCTCGGCCCGGCCAGGGCCCCGAGAGGCCGAAGACGACGAAACGCCTCCGCCCCGATTTTCTTTCGAGAAGCCCGAGGTCTGGAGAAAGGTGGTCGCTATGGACAGATCCCCGCCTCGCACCTGCTGGCGCCGCGGGCGATGGCCGCCGCCGCGGCGGGCGTCCGGGCGCGACCCGCGGTGCCCTCGCCGCCCCTGGCCGCCCCGGCGCGGCCCGCGGCGGGCGCCCGCCCCGCCAGCGGCCCGCGGGCGGCGGCGGTGCCGCTGCGCCCCGCGGGCTGCGGCAGCGGCCGCGCGCCGCCTGTACTGGTGGTGCCCCCGCCCCATGCCCTTGACCTCCCTCCCCTCTCTCCCTCCCCACCGTCTCCTCCCTCCCTCCCTCCTCCCTCCCCTCCCCTCCTCTCCCTCATTCCCTCCCCCTCCCCTCCTCTCCCTTGCTCCCTCCCCTCCCTCCTTCCCTCCCCTCTTCTCCCTCCCTCCCTCCTCTCCGCTCCCCTCCCTCCCTCCCTCCCTTCCTTTCTCTCCCTCCCTTGCTCCCTCCACTCCCTCCCCTCTTCTCCCTCCCTCCCTCCCTCTCCCCTCCCTCTCTCGCCCGCACAGGCGGGGGCCGTGTGGGCAAAGGGCCTGGACGCCTCTGCTGCGCGCTTCTGGGCCAGAGCTCGCCAAAAAACGGCTCCGTGGCGAGGGCGAGACCGCGGGGCAGGGCGTGGCGCGTCGGGGCGACAGCTCCTCACCTCCCCCTGCCCTGTCGCCTCCCTTCTATCTGGCATCTCCTCCCCTTCTTCCTCCCCCGCCCTTCCCTCCCCCTCCCTCCTTCCGCCCCCGAGCGGACGAGCGAGACCAGGCGGACCAGGCAGGGTGACGAGAAAAACGCTCACCCTCCTGCCCTGCCTCCCTTCCCGACCGGGCCCTTTTGCCTTCGAGGCGGATCCAGACCTCCTGTCCCTCACAGCAGGGAAAACTGCGGTACCCGTTGCACGGGGCCACACCGAGGCCGGCCTGGATCAGTTTCAACGCCTCCCTGCTCGGCGCTTCCCCACAGGAGCGTCTCTGGAACGTGTCTCCAGTGCAGGCTTCGGGCAGGAACCGCCGTGGCCGGCGACGCATTGATCAGCTGTTGACTGCTCCTTGGTGGCCTGGCTGGGGGTCCAGGGGGCTCGTGGCCCCGCAAGTCACTGTGGCGCCACGAGCGGTGTTGCAGCCGGGCCTGCCGCTGTCGCCTGCCGGGTCCTCGTAGAGCAGCCGCTGGCGCAAGGTCACGGCGAAGTCGTCGTCGCCGAGGAGGCGCTGCGGCCATGGGCGATTCGAGCGCCGTGGGCCCCCTCCCGCCGTGGGACTGGATGTGCCCTGCTTCTGGCTCGGAGCAGCGGTCGAGGAGCCAGCGGCGCCGGCGCTCCACCTGGCGGCTGTAGGCTTTTCGCTTGACCGCGCACCGGGGGTCCCAGGGCACCCACAGTCAACCCGCATAGCAAGGATGGGCAACCTCCCCTATGAGGGTACCCTTGCACCATTGCCTCCTCGGTCCATCCTTAGCAGCTTTCGTTGGCCGCGCCCCGCTCGAAAAGCTTCGAAACGGGCGCCCAAGGCCCTGGCATCCTCATCGAGCATCCTTGTGATACGGGCCGACTGCATGCGCGGTCGGCGCAGAGCTTCGCCTCGGCCTCGGACGCCGCTGCCGTGAGCTATGAGGTGTTGCCTCTGCCGCCCGGGCCAGGGGTGCGTGTCTCTGGCCCTGCCCGCGTGGCGGCGTGGACGGCGCGCCACAGGCCCAGCCAAGGCGCGTCGGTGCGCAGCTCGCTCCGAGCCGGCGCCCCCTTGCTTCCCAGACCCCCTCGAGTCATGACAAAAATCACGACAGGAGGGAATTCACCGTTTTCGGCCTCTGGGGGCCTTCGCTGGGTCTCGGGGCCGTCAAAAAACGACCCAGGACGAAAAGCCGGTCACGGGGAAGGGGTCCAGACCTCTTGGGTCGACGTCATGAAAAAACCCATGACGTCGGGGGTCTGGCTTGGCGGGCAGGAGGAGTACCTCCCGTCCGTTCGCAGTGAGGCCGCCCACCAGGCGCTCGGCTTGCGCGACCGCCTCGTCGTCGAAGTGCAGCCAGATGCCGCGCGGGGCCAGCTGGGCCCGCTGCAAGTGCGTCACCGCGTCGTCGACGTAGGCCCGGAGCAGCGTGAAGCAGCGCTGCTTCTCCAAGCCAGCCACCTCCAGGGCCTCCTTGGGCGGCGCCGCAAAAGCCGCCGGCCGTGGAGCCGAGGTGGCCGGAGAGGTCTGGCCGAGGCGCTGGGGGGTCTTTGCCGCCGCCCCCTGGCCCCTCCTCCCCTCGTCCGCCTGGCAAGTGGAGCACGCGCCAGGACTGTCGGGACCACGGGGCGGGATTCGCCCCTCTCGCCCCCCCTTGGCGACCAAAAAGGATACCGTGCCCGCAGGTCCGCCAGCGCTCACCTCCGCTGGCAGTTCATGGGCGTGTCTTGGCCTTCATGCGTCGCGCAGCGGCGGGCATGGGTGACGGCCGCTCATGGTTAACGCACTATGACAATTTGTATCCGAGCTTCTGGAAGATGCGGTTACCACTGGTCGACCTTTGAATCGTTATCATGCGGGCGATTCGTTGAAAGATGCCGTGGCTGCCGCACGTGTCTTACCAGCTGTCGGGCGTTGGCGTCCGCAGCGCCTGGCGTACGCACAGCTCACACATCACTTGCTCCCTGCATTGTTGATCCTGCTGTTCGAGTCGAAACTGCGTCACTAGTGGCCTCAACGCCAAGATGATTTTGCTGAGATTCCTGGGGGCCAAATTCGTGCATATCTTGCCTCAACTCCTATTTCCTGGGCTTTCTCGTTTCTCTGCGCTATGTCTGGAGGGTGGTTGAAAAGCTTCTGGATCGCGCATCCTCGTGGACAATTGCGGTGTCTCTTTGGGTGCAAGAGCTGATGGGACCAACAAGCCCATGATGCGGAGTGTCCAGTGTTCGATTTGGCGTATACGACAGAGACGGGCGATCTCATCCCTACAGACCCTTGAGAACGTTTGGGGCTGAAAGGAATGACCGAGGCCAGTTTGAAGTTCGTCAGTGTTTCATGTGCAGCTAATCACCAGATGCGCTTCGTGAGCTCGGCGGGGGTGCATGCGGTGCGTGATGTGGTGGCTGCTGGTCTCCGCTCGTACTGCCTTGCCAAGACTCGCCCCGATCGTGAACGACCGCCTGAGATATCATATCGACTCTGGCGTGACAGGCCCAGTGCATTCCAGCCACATCCACTTATTCTTGAGCATACCGGTGGCGATGCACCCTGGAATCTGAGTGCCGCGACCCCCAGAGCTGCGCATGCGGACGTTGAGGTGGACCAGATAGTGCTCAGAAGCGCTGAGGATATGCAACATGAGGCTGATGACGATTCACTGGTTTTGTCTTACTTCCTGATGCAGGCATCGGTGATCTTTCTGAGCTGCACCCGCACCGTCTCAGTCTTCCACCCGTGCCGGCATCTTCGGCGCCGTAGGAGAGGAGACCCGCGCTCTCTCCGACGCTCGATACTTCTCCCTTCTCCCTCCCTCCCTCCCTCCCTCCCTCCCTCCCTCCCTCCCTCCCTCTCCCTCCCTCCCTCCTCCTCCTCCTCCTCCTCCTCCTCCTCCTCCTCCTCCTTCGAGTTCCTGCCCCCGCCCATAGCCTCGAGTCGGCGGGGAAACTCTGGGGAAAGCAGAGGGGGCGGGCCTTCTCAGAAGGCTCGGAAGGCCTCCAACCTTTGAGAGTTTTTTGGGCCGTCTCCGAAGGCAGAGACTGCTTCTCGGACGGCCGTTGGGCTTCTGAGAATCCCGGCTGCCTTTGAGAAGGCCTACGCTCTCTCACTTCCCCCCCCCCCCGGGCGTGCCGCCGACTTGCGACCCTGGCGTCTCAATTTTTTCGAGCCGGGCGTTTTCGCTCGCTTTCGGGCCCCAGGGGCCTTCAAAGGTTGATCCCGCTCGATCTGGGGGTCCGGGCTCCGGTGGTGATATTTTACGATGTTCCGTTTTCGGCCACAGGGGGCCTTCACTGGGCTCCGGGACCGTCAGAAGTCGATCGATTGCTGACGACCCCGGGGCCCGAGTCGACTCGGGATGAAGAGCCAGTCCCGGGGAAGGCGTCACATGCCTGGGGTGCTGCCCCCGCCCCTGCTGCAGGTGGTCCCGCCGCGGGGCTCCGCGGCGCTGCTGGCGCCGGCGGCCCGGCCGCTGGCCGCGGCGACGCGGCCGTCGGCAGCCCAGGAGGGCGGCCTCGCAGGCACCCTCGGCGTGCCCAGGGAGGCGTCCTGGCCGGTGCCTTCGGCGACTCCGCCGGCACCGCTGCCGCCGCCCCCGTGCCCGGCCTCCGCCGCTGAGGCTGCCGCCCCCGCGCCCGCCAGCGCCGCACGGCCCTGCGCCGCGCTGCTGCGCAGCCCGCGGCTGCTTGCCGCGGTGTGCGGCGCGGAGCTGGCCGCCGCCACTGGCGTGCGCGGCGAGGTGCTGCAGTGGCCCGCGCTCGAGGCCCTCAGCGCGCGCCTGTGCGGCCGCCTGTGCCTGCGCCCGTTCCCGGAGGGCAGGCTGCGCGCGGCCCTGGCCGCCTGCGGCCGGGGCTCTGGGGAGCTGGCCGCGTCCGAGTTCCCGCGCTTCTTCGAGCTGTGCCTGCTGGCCTCGGACATCGCCGAGGGCCACGGGCAGCCACAGCTGGCGCAGCGGGCCCTCGAGGACGACAGCCGCTCGGTCTCCTCGGCCACCACGGCCCCGCCGAAGGCTGCCCTCGCAGAGGCCCGCTCAGCCACGGCAGAGCCGCCGGGGCAGGACGCATCCGAGGCGGCGGGCACATGCCTGAAGGTGGCGGACGACGGGAAGGACCGCCTGAGGTTTCTGCTCCTCCACCAGGCGCGCCCGCTGAAAGGTGGGCCTCGCTCCCAGGCGGCGCCCCAGCGCCCGGTGCCCCTGCGGACCTCACGGCGGCTGATGGCGTGGCTCGCTGCGGCGATCTGCTCGTTTGCGGGCCGCCCCGCGATCTGGCCGGCTCGGTGGGGGGGCAGGGCGGGGGCCTCCACCCCCGCACGCCCTGGCAGCTGATCCGCCCACCCGAGCGCAGGAGGCACCGGCAGCTCGAGTTTGAGACTGAGTTGTTGGGCCGGGTTTCGGCTTGCATCGCCTGTCTTCGAGGAGCAAAACATGGCATACACAACACACAAACGTTCTGAGCTCCGCGCGGGTTTTCTGGATCGGTGCTGGCCCCCAGGAGTAGTGGCGCGCTCCGCGCGCTAGGGAGGGGGTCCAGCGCCCACCCAGGAAATCCGCGCGGAGCTCCGAAAGTTTATGTTGATATCATGTCTGTTCAGCGCCTGTCTCCCCCATCCTTTCGGGGGTTGCCGAAGGTGTCCATGGCCCAAGGCGTCCCCAGGATTCCCGGGAGGTCCAGCTGGCCTCCAGAGCACCCCCCCACGAGGCCCAGAAGGCCCCAGGGACTCCAGAATGGCGCGAGAGACACTTTGGGCCAGGACCACATCCAGCAACACCCGAGTCCTCCTCACGACCGCCACCCCTTAGGTATCCAGCTGCGCTGCCGCGGATGTCTGCCACCTCGCTTGGGGAAACTGCGCTGCAATGCCATAAACGTGGCGCAGCCATGGCTTTAGATGGCCGCCGCGGTGCCTGTTGTGGGGGCCACTTCGCGGGCGTCTTGGGTGCCGTTTTGGGGTGTTCCAGGGCCCTCTTGGGGGGTCTTGGGGCCTGGGGGCCTTGGGCTCGTCTTGAAGTTGTCGTTGGGCCGTCGGCCGTCTAGGGGGCTTCGGGCCTCTGGGGTCCATCCTTGGCCGTCGGGAATCTGTCCCACGATGGCGCCACACGTCGTCGCGCTGTAAGCGCGGCGGCGGTGGCGGATCCTTGAATCCCGTGTCGGCCAACCTGCTCGTGCATCGGGGCCGAGTGCGCCGACGGGAAATGTAGGCCTCTGAAGATTGCAGGCAGCCCGGTTGCAGCCTGCTTCTGAGATCAGTGATCGAGTCTCGCGGCTGTGTGCTAATTTTATAGTGTGGTAATTCGTTGGCTGTTGCCGTACAGTGGATAATGATAATCATGACGAATTCACAGCAGCAGTGCCATCGCTGATTTTCCAGCGCCCTGCAAGGCACGCTTCTTGCACTGCTGCGGTAGTCGGTCTCGCGCTTGCCCGGCGGTCGTCCTCGCGCTGCCCCTCGCGGCATGCTGTACCTTAGTCCAGCCAGCCAGGCGCTGGCGGAATCTTGATGCATAGTGGGCCAGTCGGTTGCGTGCGACAAAAGACACATCCTAAATGCGATGGCCCGTCACGTCCTCGGCTGCACCTGCTCCAGAAGGCAGCAAGCCGTGCGCCACCACGGCATGTTGTCCTGGAGGGGCTCCTGGTGAAGCCCGACCAGTGCACAGGAGAAGGAGGAGGAGAAGCAGGAGGAGGATGAGGGGCCAGAGTTGACCCAGGATGCATCAGCGATGTTGCAGTACGCCCTCCCGTCCCAAGTTCCCTCCCCAGAAGTCCCTGCTTGCCTTCCTTCCCACCGCTGGAGGCACCGCGAGCGCCATCGCCGGCTCTAGCTGCGCCCCCTCCTTATCCAGAGCGGCGCGCGGCTGCGGAGAACTCGGGCTCATGGCGCGGGGGCTCTTGAGGAGCGGCGCCTCCTCCCTCCCTCCTACCATCTTCCTCTCCTCTCCCTCCTCTTCGTCCCTCCCCCGTCGTTGTCGTCGTTGTCGTCGTCATCGTCGTCGTCCTCCTCCTCCTCCTCCTCGTCCTCCTCGTCCTCCTCCTCCTCCTCATCATCAGCAGCAGCAGCAGCATCATCACCACCACCACCACCACCACCACCATCATCATCATCATCATCATCATCATCATCATCATCATCATCATCATCATCATCATCATCATCATCATCATCATCATCATCATCATCATCATCATCATCATCATCTCTTCCTCCTTCCTCACAAGGGTGGACGTCTGGCTGTCGATCTGCATCACTGCCTCGTTGGTGCCCTGGGTTGCTGGGTCGTGGGGCAGTCCTGGGCACCAGTCCGACGGCTATGCCAACGACTACGATGGCAGTTCGGGATCGGGCTCCGGGAGCGGCTCCGGGAGCGGCTCGGGAGGGTTCTCGATGCCGACCACCCCGGCGTGGCCTTCGTTCACGCTGCCGACCACGCAGCCCATCACGACGCCGTCGATGCCCACCACCCCGCCGTGGCCGACGTTCTCCGAGCCGACCACCTCGGCGTTCCCCGCGTTCTCCGAGCCGACCACCTCGGCGTTTCCGTCGTTCTCGGAGCCAACCTCGCCGACGATGCCGACAACTCCACAATGGCCGACAATGCCGACCACCCCGGCATTCACCATCCAGCGGGCGAAGAGCGGTACGTTTCAAGCAGACGCTTCCGCCGTCGCGGACGCCCCTCCCGGGACTGCTGGATAGACTGCCACCGTACGCCGCCGTAGGGGTAGAAGTCAGTGGCCACATGTGAACCCTACCCCCCCCCCTTTTTCTAAGGGGGTGGGGGTTCACTCCGCTCGGGATTTCCCGAACGAAATGGCCCCCCCCCTTAGACATCGTGGGGGGTAGGGGTAGGGGTTCACATGTGGCCACCAGATGAGCTCTCCAGCCGGCCTGGGACTGGCGTCCTGGCAGCGGAGCGGTTGATTGCGTGGCTCGGCGGCGCGCCCGGGGGTGCACGTGGCTGGGGGCAGGTTCTCTCGGAGGGCGGCGGGGCCTCGGAGAAGGCCCAGAACGCTTCGCAGAAGGCGCCCGGATCACCTCGCTGGCCCTCCGCGAAGCGTGCTGCCTGCCCCTCCGGAGGCCGTGCGCGGAGTGGCGCTCGCCGTCGAACCTGCCGGAGCCACGGGGGGCTTGTGGGGCTTTCGAGGAGGCTCGCCGCGGCTGCCTCTCCCCTGGGCGCGCCGCGGAGTACGGCATGCTCGCGTCGTGGCGGCGCGGCGGCGACCCCGCCGCGGGCGTTCCAGGCTTCACGCCGACAGTGGCCCAGGAACGCTCCAATGCTGAACGAAGCGCCGTTCCCCAGAGCGCCGACTGCTCAAGGCTGAGCGATCCACGCGGTGGTAGGGACCGGCGCCGACGCCGTGACGACACGAACCCGCCGTACCGCCGTTCGGCCGCTGAGCCGTGCCGACGACGCCCTCCTGGCCAGGCTTCGGGCGGAGGCTGCCGCGCGACGCTCCGCCGCCGCGCGCGGGCGGGGCCGGGGGGTGTCAATGCCAAGCGGCCTGGGGCTGTGGGCTTCCCTCGGCCGGGGATCGATCGAGGGCCGATCGACGGCCGATCGATCGAGGGTCGATCGAGGTCCCCTTCCCGCCGGGGCCTCCGGCCGCCGCTCCCGCCCTCCCTGCCCGCCCTGTTCCACATCCCACCTCACCTCTCCTCGCGCGCAGTCTTGTCTTTGCTTGTTTGTGTGTGTGTGTGTGTTTGCGTGTCTCTACACGGTCCGCCTTCCAGCCAGGATCTCCCATCCCGGGTCAGCCGGTGCCGCGGGGGCGGCCGCCTCGCAGAGGCAGGGCCCCTCCTGGGACCCCTCGCGGCCGAGTCGTCCTCCCCTGCGTTCCGAGCGCCAGCCAGGAGCCCCGCTTCCTGTCCGCAGTTGGGCGCCGTCGCTGCTCCGCCACCGTGCGTCCCTGCTTGGGGCTCCCTCCCTCCGTCGCTCCCGCTCCCTGCCTTACGCTGCGGCCGGCTTTCCGCCTTTCGGGTGTCAACCCGGTCGCCCTCCTCTCTCCCTGGGTGACGCTTGTCGGGTGCCGCCGTCTCCGTCTTCGGACGCTGTCTCAATTTTCCCCCCCACCTGGCCCGAGTGGACATGTGCGGTTGATCCGTCATGGTCTCGCGTCTGAGGGCTCGGTCCCGCGCGCTCGCTCGCTTCCGACTGCTCGACTTGCTCCGCCTCGTCGCCGCGCGCGAGGCCGCGACCGCGCAAAAGTGTGTGTGTGTGTGTGTGTGTGTGTGTGTGTGTGTGTGTGTGTGTGTGTGTGTGTGTGTGTGTGTGTGTGTTTGTGACAGCGTGTAAGTGTAAGTGTAAGTGTAAGTGTAAGTGTAAGTGTAAGTGTAAGTGTAAGTGTAAGTGTAAGTGTAAGTGTAAGTGTAAGTGTAAGTGTAAGTGTAAGTGTACGTGTAAGTGTAAGTGTAAGTGTAAGTGTAAGTGTAAGTGTAAGTGTAAGTGTGTGTCTGTGTGTGTGTGTGTGTTTGTGTTTGTTTGTTTGCTTCTGCTTGTGCTTGTTTTTTCCTCGCCCGGCCTCCCCCCCATCTCCCCCCTCGGCCCTCGCTCATCCTGCAGCTTCGTGGTGCGGACGCAGGTCCAAGGCTTGGTTCCTGCTTCTCCCCTTCCTCCTCCTTCGTGCACGCTGTGCTTGCCACATCGTTCCAAAACGTTCCTGCAGGGCAGCTTCGCAACGGCCATCGCGCCTCGCGCGCCACGGCTTGGGCTGGGGAGGCGCCCCTCTCCAGGGCGGCGGCGCGGGGACGCGAAGAGGAAGTGCGCGTCCCGCACCGCGGGGCGCGATGCGCGAAGTTTGGTGCCCTGGGTAGGGGGCCACATGCGAACCCTACCCCTACCCCCCACGATTTCTGAGGGGGAAGGCGGGGTTCACTTCGTTCGGGAGCTCCCGAGCGAAGGGAACCCCACCCTCCCCCTCAGAATTCGTGGGGGGTAGGGGTAGGGTTCGCATGTTGCCCCCTACTGGGATGCTGGAGGTGGGGGCCTCAGGTGGGGATACCGATCAGGTTCGAGGCTCAAAGTCTTTGGGCGTTTTCGGTGGCTTTCGGCGGCTTATGAGCCTCGGCGTGCTCTCAAGCAGCTGCGCGCCTCGCCGAGGGCACTCCAGGGGGGGTCCCGAACGGCCGCTGGAGATTCGAGCTACGGGTCGAATACTAGAGGCAACGTCACTCTCTCTCTCCAGCGCTGACCAGTTGGCCCCCCCCTCATTTTCTCCAGTCGTGGTGCCCTTCATCCTCGCCGTTTCGGGCTCGTTTCGGCGACTGCCAGTGTTTCCATCCGTGGTCATTTTCTCTTTCGCGGAATTTCCAAACTCTACTTTTCCCAGCTTCTTTGTACTCATCGTGCACCCTCTTAGCACCTCCCATCGATGAGCTCATGTGCAAGTCCGTCGATGCTCACTAACAGGCAGTCGTCTGAGTGAGCAAGATTGGCGTGCGGATTGTGATAGCTCGCGAGTTCTACGACGGCTACATTTTCGCAGGGGGCGGACGGGAGAGTCTTTCCAGGAGCGACGCAATCGTAGTGCACCATTGGTGTACTCATTTCGTGAAGAGCCTCACTTGGATCTCTAAGACGGTGGCGTTCGTCGGCAGCTTATGTGTTGGACTGTTCGTCTGGCTGCGGGCGGCGGACTTTCCAGACGCTGCCAATGTGCTGAGACGTGCACGTCCGGGAAATGCATAAACCGTGTTGGCCGTTCCCAGGACTATTGCGATCGTCATTTGATTTGGCGAGAAATGCACGCTAGACGGATGGTTGGTTGGTGGCATCTGCATCTTAGGAATATTTGGTCGTACTGCGCAGAAAAGCCCAGGGCAATCTATTTCTGGAGGACAGGCTCAAACGTGCAGTAGCGCTGAGCGATCACGAACACTTCCCTCAACACGCTTTCAGAGCATAGGACAGGCGAGCGGCTGCGATAATCGGCTTCTAGATAGGTGTGAGGTAGGTCTGCAGCCTGGTGTTCTTGACTGCAATGCTAGGCGCAGTCTGGGCATGGCTTCTGACCACTTGGCGCTCCATGCCAGGGGAAGGATGAAGAAGACGATGAGGACGAAGACGAGGACGAGTAGCATGAGGAAGAGCACGAGCAGTCCGTGGGTATAGCCAGGCGGGGCTGGGGCGGAAAACGTGGCCGTGAGTTGAGGAGGAGGAGAAGGGGAAGGAGGAGGTAGTAGGAGGAGGATGATGAGGAGGAGGAGGATGATGATGAGGAGGAGGACCAGTGCAAACCAAGACTCATCAACGAGGTTGGAATAACCCTCCCTCCAAGCTCCCTATTCAGAGGCCCCTAGAAGGATTCATTTCCACTGAGGGAAGCGCCCCGTTGGGAGGCAACCGTTTGAAGATCCTGAAGAGTGCTAAACACCCTTTCTGGGACTCCAACGCTACGAATCACCTTGTCTGTTGCGTCTTGACGATCCTGACTCGTTCTAGAACGCCGTTCCTGGGACTTGAGCACCTCGGATCAACGTAACTGTTGCGCCCTGACAGTCCTGAATCATTCCAAAGCACCATTTATGGTACGTTGACCATTGGAATCCGTGGAACTGTTGTAACTGTTAACAAGCGGGTGTACGCGGCGCTAAGGCGAGAAGTACTTGTTGAAAAGGAACCGCCTCCAATCCGTGAAGCGTTTTTTTT